AAGGATGGCTTACCAATTCATGAAGTGTTTCATATTTTTATATTAATTAACTGTATTGTGGTAATCTGAATTTCATGATCTACACATAATTCAAATCATTATGTTGTATACCTTTTAATACAAAGTTATGTGTTAATTATATCAATAAAACTGAGGAAGGAGGAATATACTTTGAACATGTCAATACATTGAAGATCATCAAGAAAACATTTTATGTTTAACATGCTGTTGGTGTAATTTTGTAGGCATGATATAAGATATTATATATAAGATATTATAAGATATAATATATTATAATATCTTATATATATAAGATATATATATAAGATATTATAGGGTTTTATTTTATCTCTATATTCTGGATAGTTTTTGCCATTCAGAAAGAAGATATTTAATATGTGACATGCATGTGGTGTAAGAAAAAAAAAATAGCTCCAGTGTATGCATTTATATTTCCTCAATATTCCAGCTTAAATTGATATTTCTTACTGAACTCTAAAATGTGCAAATTTATGTCTTGAAAAAAAATCTGAATTGAGCTTGAAAACTCTGTACCATGAATTATTAATGTTCATATGATAAAAAGACCCCTGGTCAGAATAAAAGACTTCATCTGCACATTTAGTGGATTTCCTGGTAGTTCTTCAGATTGGAACTGTCTACAAATCCCACCCCTTCTCTTCTCCTTGTGTGTCGACAAGTTCAGCAGCTACCCCTGTGAACTCTAGTTCACACACATACACACACACACCCCTACTCCTGGATAAGAACATTTTATTGTCAGTCTTCTTCCTTATTTTGTTTCTGGTGATCTCAGGACTTTATGGGAACTGAGTAACAGCTTCTCTTCACCAAATACTCTGGGATCTCTGTAATACTTTATTTTTTTTTTTTTTTTTATAGAGGCATGTTTTATTTATTTATTTATTTGTTTGTTTGTTTTGTTTATACATGCACTGGGTACAGTCAGAAGCGCGGGAGGGTGAGAGAATTCACCAGAGCCAGAGCGGGGAGCAGAGCAGGCAGAAGGACCGAAGTACACTGCTGAGGGGAGCAGCGGGCGGCAGGAGAGGTCTGCGCGCCATGTGGGACCCTCCTCCCGTGGCCGGGGAGCAGCCGGGGATCGAACCGGCGCTGCAGAGGCCGCGGGCAGCTTCGCAACCCAGCGCTCAACCACTGCGCCACTGGGGAGGCCCTCTGTAATACTTTAGCTAAACAGAGTGGTCCCCTGATGAAATGTGCTAAATAAAAAATATTTTCATAATGTGCTAAATAAAAATATTTTCAGAATTTGCTAAGAATGTACAACAAAACAGTCCCCAACTTCCAGTATGCCTGACATATATGTTTGTGCTAGCATGATATAATAGGACATACGAACTGCATGGCATAAATAGCAAGAAGCTGTGTTTTTTACTTCTTTGTGTACTTCATTCTAAAAGATGTTTTTACATGCATTAGCTCTGTAGCATCCATTATAGTTTCCTGCAGCCCTTTTCCTTTTTGCATTCTGTTCCTTCTGTCAGATTTTTTTCTGCCTCATGAACTATTTATTCTTTTAGAACATAACTGAAACACAATCTCTACCTGATTCTGTAGATGTAGCAGTCTTCCTGTGCTTGGGTGTGTTCGTCCATTCATAGCATTGTCTTGTGATGATTTATGTATCCGATCTCCTGCTTAATTATGAGCTCCCACCACCCAGCCTAGGCTTACGTATATAATATGGCTTTTACTGAACAGAAGAAAGTCTCCTTATTGCTTCATGTTGCCCCAGGCCATAAGTTGATGTGTATAGAGCATTTTGAGAGTTCCTTTCTCTCCTGGGTTTGATAAAATACTATCAAGTGGATTTTGTGACTACAGTTCTTAAACTCTTATTCATATAATTATTATTATGATTTTTAAAAAGGAGTTTTGTTGAGGAATAATTTATATACCATAAAATCCATCCATTTTAAGTGCAATTCAGTAGTTTTTAGCAAATTTACAGAGTTGTGCAATCAATGCTACAACCCAATTTTAGAACAATTGCTCTAGCCTAGGAAGATCCTAATTGAGGTATATGAAAATATTGATGCAACTGTTTGGAAACATCTGTGTGATGAACTGAACTAGGTGACCTCAAGATGCACCAGTGTTTTTGGCTCTAAACTGCTTGAGTACAGCATTCTTGAAGGAGGCCTAGATATTTAGTGATATTGTGTCCTAAAGAACAGTGCTTGCTGATAGTTTCTCATGAGAGGCTTACTCTGTGACCTGCACTATGCTAAATCTGTTACATGCATGGCCTCATCTGAGATTCAGGATATAATAATCTGTAATGCAGATACCGTCTCCACTTAATACATTAGAACTCAAGAAGAAGATAAGAAATGAACTCAAGGTCAGACCACTACTAACTGGAAGAGACTGGGACTTAGACTTGAACATGACCTGATTCGGGATTTGACCTAACTGTGTACTACGCCTGCCTTATAGGTTCAGTAGTTATCTGTTGTGCTCCTACGCTTCTGACTGTACCCAGTGCATGTATAAACAAAACAAATAAATAAATAAATAAATAAACATGCCTCTATAAAAAAAAAAGAAAAGACAAATCTTGTAATTACATTTGAACAGTTGTTTTTTTTTTTTTTTTAATAGAGGCATGTTTTATTTATTTATTTATTTATTTGTTTTGTTTGTTTGTTTATACATGCACTGGGTACAGTCAGAAGCGCACGAGGGTGAGAGAATTCACCAGAGCCAGGGCGGGGAGCAGAGCAGGCAGAAGGACCGAAGTACACTGCTGAGGGGAGCAGCAGGCGGCAGGAGAGGTCTGCGCGCTGTGTGGGACCCTCCTCTGGTGGCCGGGGAGCAGCCGGGGATCGAACCAGCGCTGCAGAGGCCGTGGGCAGCTTCGCAACCCATTGCTCAACCGCTGTGCCACCGGGGAGGCCCTGAACAGTTGTTTTTTAACCTGAGAAGAGATAATGGTGTTGAAATGATAAAAACCCTGAAATCAGCCTTTTTTTTTTTTTTTTAAACTTAGTTTGAAGCCCAATGGGCTTTTTTTGAATTGGGTCAAGCAAACCTAGAAGAAAGAAGAAATAGGAGTGTGTTTTTAAAACTGTAAAGTATTGAGGCTATTTACATTGTCATCATGATTTTTGATTGAGTTTACTTTGGGAATTGTTTCTCTTAAGTCTTAACAATGTTAGCATTGGTTGATACAAGTGGTCAGTTACATTAGTTCACATGTTGGTTTGGCTGCCTTGGCAGAGATGTAGAGTGACTTAAACCAAATAGAAATTGCAGATAAAAAGCTGGGCAGGTAATCCAGATTTGGCATCATCTTAGGGATCCTGCCTCTTTATCTCATTGCTCTGCCATCATTAGATGTGGCTTTCATTTCTAGGTCTAAGTTAACTGTTTCAGCTCCCTCCATCACGTCCTCACCAAGCATCAAGAGGAGAATAAGGTACAGAGGATGATGGACATTCCCCCTCTCTTTTTAGGGCATGACTAAGAAATACATCTATTCATTTCACATCTTATTATAAGACTTAGTTTATAGGACCATATGCGCTGTGAAAGAGCTGTAGAAAATATTTTTTTTATTAGCTATCAGTGAGGGTGGGAAAGATGCCATATACAACTGAAAATTCAGTTGTTGTATGTTAAGGACAGAATGAATGTTAGGAAACAGTGGGCGATCCGTGCCCCATTATTCTAGGAAGATGAGTTTAATATGAAAACATAGACTTGTATATAAGGAAAGTGAGCTATGGGGTGCTTTAGGCCAGACTCTTTGCTGTATTTCTTTTCATCTGGGCCAGAAGATTGGATACAAGTCCCCTTATGTTGAAATGATTCCTGCAGACTCTGAGGACACTTTGACTATTTCTAAGTTGGTGGTGTGTCAGAATATCTTTTATAACATGGTGTCAATTTGAACTCATGATTTTTCTGGAAAAGTGAATGCAGCAGCTCCAGGCTGGACATCTGGGTTGGGTTTTCCTCTGTAAAGTCAGGATGCATTTTCTCACTTCACAATACTTCTAGGGACAAAAATCCTGTTGTCAATAAGAGTACTAGTTTAGTTGTCATGCTATTATTCCAGACAGAAGGCTTAAAACTCCTGTTAAGTGTACATGCAAACTTTTCTGTGACAAAACAGCTCTTGTGTCATTGAAAACCGATTGTATCTAGGACAATTGAAGATACCATATTGTAACCTGGGTACTTAACTATGATGTGGGCCAATGGATGTCTTAACTTTTTTCGTAGTTAATAGTAACTTAAAGCAGTTGAAAAGTCATGTCTCTCGTCATGCTATGTGTATTTAGTCAACAATTTTGAAGTGATTTAAACATGCATGTGTTTTTGTGTGATTTAACATGTTTTTGTGTGATTTAACGTGATTTAAACATGCATTTGTTTTTCATCTTTGGTTTTGAGGATCACAGATAACCATAACTTTCTTTAAGGATTAGGGTTTTTTTTTGCAACTAACTAGACCAACAAGAAAAATGAATTTGTGAAGAGACACATACTATTTCCCAACGTGGCACTTGATGGCATTTTTCTATAGCCTTTTTTGATAGGAAAAGATCCCTTGAGTTCTTGGGATTAGAATACTTAACGTAATCTTCTGATAGCAGCTGTTTCTTGTGGTAACTATGTCCTTTTTTGAGGGTACATTTTGGAAGCCATAGATTTCACCATAAATCCTGAATTATTTGAAAATCTATGTGCCAGCATTGCATGGCAGGTAACACTAGTTCTAGCCACGTTCACTCAAGAACTCCCAGGGTTATGTCCAATGATTTCCTGTGATTCCTTGATATGCCCTCTCGAGACAGCCACTTTATACAGTGCATCAAATCAGCTGCTGTCTGTGGAAGTGGCAGTGGTTCCGTGATTCCCCTCTTTTTTGTGGGGGTGGGTTCTCTTTGCTCTTTATCTATTGCCTACACCCTCAGCCGTCACGAATGTTTTGTTTTTCTCTCTTGCAGATGACACGATTGGTGCTGCCCGGCATGGTAGAAAGGTGAGTCACAAGCTCACACACAAACACTAGAGAGACAGAGCTCATGATTATTTATAGGGAGAATCCTTTCTTTGAAAAATTCATTAAAGTGACTAATGAACCTGTCCTCCATGTCTTAGTGACAGAGTAATGTGCCTGGCGAGTCACACGGTGGAGCGTGAGTCATCCAGTGGTGGAGGCCTTTTCCACTCGATTCCCTTTTTATTTCCCTCTCCAGCGTTGCGGTGGTTCCTTTAGATCAGGATTAAAAAGTCTGCCTGAGTCACCATCACTAACTCAATTGCCTGCTATTCTGAGGGGGCGGATAGAGTTCCTGGGATATTCCCGGGAAGACCTTCTTAAAGCTGTATGCATTCAGAGCCAAACCCCTGGAGTTTTGTGGGGGGGGGGGAACCCATTTTCTGGCTCTTATTGGGAGAAGGGATGTGTGAGGAACTTAGACGTGTTATAATGTGGTTAAGCAACATCAGATGTGCCCTTGGGGGAAAGGGCTATGTCCACTAGTTCCATCTGTGTTCCCATTTGAATTGGGTCCATTAGGCTATGCTGGGTGACTTATTTTGATAGAGAAACAATTTATAGACTTCTTAAATTAGAAATAGCATAAAATTTAAAATTGTAGTGAAGCTTTGTTATTCCCTTGGAAAAGCTTGAATGACATCTACGTCTTCAAAGAAAACCTGTTGAAAAGAGCTGGGCTTGCATCTTGAGCTAGCTTGATTATTTGCTACTTTTAGGGCTTCATGCTTATCTTTCATCTGCAAAAGAGCTTTGGGTGTGGAGAGATGCAAAGGAATCACAGCGTTGGAAAGGGCAGACCCAAGGGCCAAGGGCCCCACTTCAGGTTTCTCTACTGAATCAACTTCAGGCAGGGATTACAGCTGTTTATGAGTAGGTATCAATGCTGGGTGTTGTGCTATGAACCTGGAATGTTAGAACCTATTTAAACTTTGACAGCCTCTCATTCCTTTATAGATGAGAAAACCGAAGTTAGGAATCCATTTTGCTTGCATCTGCAGCGTCCATTGAGAAGCTGCATCTTTGCAAGACTCTTTTTTATGTGGTTTTGTATATTTTAATTGCTTTAGTAAAAATTCCCTTAAAGATGTTCACACTGCTTTTTGTTGGATGACTGTGAGAGCGCGCCCTTTGTGGTCAGAGGTGGAAATGACAGCAGAACAGCCCAGACAGGATGAAAATCTGGTGCCATCTTAACTCTAGTTTTGACATCTGCAAGTGACATGGTCTTAATTCAGGGTAGTAAGTCCACCCAATAAAAGGAAATATTTCTAAACCACAGAGGTATTGTAAAAGGAAGTGGTGTGTGTTGGTGAAAACAATATCAAAAGATCATGGTTTTGAAATCATCTAGCAAACCCTACTTGGGCTCAAAGAGTCATAGATTTTCCATACTTTAAATGAACTGAAGCAAGCTTCCCTCCCTTGACAGATAAAAAGTGAGCCCCCAAAAGATTGTGTGCTATGAAGTTTCAAAATTAATAAATGGTACAAACATAAGGTGCTAGGAACTTTCCTCCTATCTGTAGACCTAGCTGCAGTGATCAGTTATAGCTGGGGCATTATGTAAAAAGTAAAAATTGCAGAGAAGAGGATCTATCCACTCAACAGGCATTCATTAAGTGAACTTTATTGTGGTGTATACAGAAAATGAATTGGATCCTTGCCTTTAAGAAATCAAGTTGATTTTAAACTGATGTGGAGAAATGATCTGGTGGAAAGCCATCATAAATTATGAACTGAGACTGACAATTTTGGGGGTGACTGGCATTTGCTAAGAACTCATGAGAAATGTAAAGGAATTCTATGAATCAGCACTTTGGGCTGGGAGAAGGAAAAGAAGTTACTAGTTAGTGAAGGAAGACTAACTGCTATAACAGACCAACCCAAAATCTCAGTGACTTAACAGTGAAAAGATTGATTTTCTCCTGACATCATAGCCACTGTATCAGTGGCTGGGGCTTTGCTCCACCCAACCATTCAGGAATCTCAGGCCCCTTCTACCTGGGGCTCCTTCTTCTTTCCTCCCCACTTGCAGTTTTTTGCTCAACCCTCTGTATCCCACAGAGAGATTAAAGATGATTTTATAGGCGCTTTCACGGGTCAGGCCTGGAAACTTCTGCCCACGTACCGTTGTCTAGAACTCAGTCAGTTACAGGTTAAACTTAACTCCAAGGAGTGGCAGAAATGTTAGGTGGGTGCCCAAGAGGAAAGAGAGCTCCAAGTTAACAACAGATCATCTGAAAGCCTTCTTGCTTACACGTTATACGTGATTTTATTATAGCCTGCCCTTTTTACCATTCCCAAGTGGCATATCTCTTCTGGTTGGTTTTCATAGGATTTGTATCTCCATTGAGAAACAGCAGAGTCCTTTATAAAGATCCTTTGTTGTTGTTTCCCCTTTCACTGATTCTACCTGTGATGTATGAGATTTTCCAGGCCTTCTAGAACTATAGCCTGGGGCCAACTGACTATCACTAAACAAGTATCTATAATCAAACTAAGGTATTATTACCATAGAAGTAGAAAGTGCATAATTACATTATAGAGGAAACTTGCTCTTTCCACTTCCTTGGAATTATAAACATTGTGTACAGCTGGAGCCAGGAGGTGGTTGCCATAACAACCATGGAAAAGCTAAAAATAGCCTCTTTCATACTGTATTGCTTAAGGTGGAATTATGACATGTTATGGTGTTTTAGGGCAGGCAATTCTCTTTCATGTGGTAAATGTTTGCAAACTTTCTTCAACAAAGCAATATTTGTATTGGATTTGTAATATCTGTAATGTATTCAGATTGCTGGTTCTAATTATATACCTGGCCCCTGTGTTTCAGAATTCTTTTCTGACATAGAGCTCTGTTTTGATATGTTTTCTCAGTCTTTTTGAGAGTCTCTTAGAGAACTGTCTGTATCCATTTCAATATTGTGATTTTAAGCTTAAGAAAAAAAGGAGTGACCCACCAAAACCACCCTTATGCTCTCTGGGAAGAAATAGAATTATGAAGAATGGTGATGGAGTCTCTTTTACACAGTTTCCTTTGCCTGCCTTCAAACTCTTTATGTAGTTAGCTGTCCACATTAGGACTGACCCTATGTCCCAGTTCTTCTCAGAGCAGCATTTAGGCCTCCACATCCCTCCCTGCTCACTTGCAGTGTGGGGTAGTGATGCGGTTCCTAAGGAGGCAGACATCAGTGATTTATGTCAAAGGAGACCTATCACTTCCTCTAGAACAGGAGCATTTTTATAGAGCTGTGGACAAGGACATTGTCACAACCTGGTAGAGCAGGGAGGCATTTATAGAAAAACATAGACTTGGTAATTTTTTAAACCAGTTGACAATTAAGGAGAGTCTTACGATTGGGAATTTCTTGGATCTGAAGGAATTCCACTGGAAATCACAGCAACAGGAAGCTATAAATCTTAGGTACTGAATTTGATTGGGTTGGATGAGTTTAATGTTTGACTCATACAAGCGGGAGAGAAGATGGAAAAAATATGTTTCTATGAAAAGGTGTTTTCTTATCAGCAGTAGTGTTTTCTGCCCTGTTTTGCAGTATTTTAGTGCTAGTAGATTCTCAGTAATTTGCACCATTGAGACACCATCCTGTGGCTGTTAGCAAGTAAGCAGTGTGATGAATTAAGAATGTTGTATCACAGAAAATATTCTTTGACTTGTTTATTTGGATATTTGTCATAACAAACTGGAAATGTGCTGAAGGATGAGCAACGTGAGTCTTCATTATAGAACTTCAGCAAATATTCTTAATGTACTTTCCAATCTTAGAATTGTTCCCCAAGTCCCTGGAAAATGAGAGATTAACCAGGGTTGGATTTTATGTTTGTTTCTGTGTGCAATTAAGCGCAGCCCATTTTGTCCTTCTGCTTGATATAACAGAGTTGTCATGAGCCTGGCTGTGCCATGGAAACTGGTTTGACGTCACTAATTCTGCTTAGATGGAGGATTAGAGCTAGACAAAGTGGTTGATTTTAAAGATGAGTCCTTTGTGCCTCGTAGTCCCAAATATGCATCCCCATTTCTACATAAAGAACAGTAGCTTGTACAGTACAAGGATTAATTCAGCTATACCCTGTGTTATTTATGATTCAGACAAAACTAAGTTGAATATTATTATCCTTGGAGAGAAGGAGAGAGAGAATTGTGTGCTGTTGTAAGTGGAGGTTTGCGGGGGAGGAGGGAGCTTTTTGCTACACAGACAAATAAGTGTGGGTCTTGGCAGCACAGAGTTTTTGTCTAAGGGGTGTTTTCTCTACTGTGATTTTAGTGCAGTTGTAAATGCTGCTGCTTTTATTATATCCAGTGTATCCTTGTTTTATACTTAGTATGTCGTGGATTTGTTTTGATGTAGTTTAGATATTGAGATACAGATAACGTGTTTTGAATAAAGTACCCCCCAATACTGACTTTTCGTCAAGTCAAACTAAACCTGCCTCCTAGAAATTTTAAATTGGGGTAGAATATTTGAAAACCAAAAATCTCAGCTGCCTCAAGGAGTAAACAATTAAAGGATGATGCCTGCATAATTGTGGCATATTTGATTATCACTCTGTATTAATTTTGAAAATGGGAGAGAAGTTTTTATTATCTTTAAATGAATTATCCTATATTGAAATCATAGCTGTGGGGAGGGAAGTTTTAAGAGTCTATTTTGGTGAGGGTAAGATTTAATTTTTAAAATGGACTTAGTATTGTTAAACTTTAATTTTGGAAGACTTTCAAATTGCATTTCATTTGTAAGGGATGAAAATAAACAGTGTGAGATTTTGTTCAAGTATACACACAACTGCCCCAGCCAACTTGAGTATAATAGAACACACAGTTCCACTGATAAAACCAGCAATGATGGGTGGGCTTCCATGAAAAAACATCGCCTTCTCTGCAACTGGTTAAGACTGGCTTTCCCTTCATTTGCTCTGAATGTGTGAGGACACACAATTCCTAGTTTTGTGAGAAGAGGCTAGAGTGCAACTCTGTCCAAAGCTGGAAGGATCCTTGGGGCTCACGTTGGGAGTAGGGGTTACACCTTTTCAGGATTCCAAGTTATTTCTGAGATAGCAAATTGTACTGCATAAGATAGAACAGCTCTCTTCGCTCCCACTTGAATGTTCCACCTTTGACATAAAAGGTGACACTTCTAATATATCACAAGTACTTTTCTTTCTCATTCTCTCTTCCTTTTTTTTTTTAGATTTATTGAGATATATTTCATATACCATCAAATCCTCCCATTTAAAGTGTACAATTTGGTGGTTTCTAGTTTATTCCCAGAGCTCTGCAACCATCACCATAATTTAATCTCAGAACATTTTCAATACCCTAAAAAGATAAGGATATTTTAAACATCACAAATTAATACTTTATTAAAAGTCTCCTGTAACAAAACTAGTTTTCAGTCCACTTTTATCAAAGGAATTTTCACAAATTAGGTAACTGAAATGACTACATATTCATTGTTAATTTACCAGTTTTTATGAATGAGTCGTAGCTCCTGATACAAACTTACTTTCTTTGCCTTATAGTTTAAAGAGAAAAGTCTTTTCTACCTTGAGAGAAACAAAATATTTTTTTTTTCCTCTGAGAGTAAAAATACAAGAATGGCGTGATTAAATATATTGATTAAATATTTCCAACTTCAAAACCCATTTATGACATTTTTTAATTTGAGATTTGATTTCTGTGGCTAAAATTGTCATGGATTTCACAGCTTAGGGGAAGGTATGTATCAGTAGTAAGGACTTCGGTTTTAAAACAAAACCAAACAAAACTGAAAATGACTTGTGTCCAGCAGCATCCTGGTAGAGGGGCCAGACTTCCATTCGATGGTTGAAGTAACATCTGCTCTTGAGTCAGATGATGGACTAGGTACCCTTTGGGGATTATTTTCCAGATTTTTATCCAAAATAACCAGAACACCATTTAATTGTGTTACTTTTATTTTGCCTAAAAATTATCTAAATAATCCTTTTTTTTTTTTTTTTAAGTACTGAAAGATTGGGACCTGGGGAAAGTAAATCCAGGCAAATAACAATGGTAGAAGGAAAGGAACCTGATCTGGAGATGGTGGTAGATGGGGTTCTGTTGTAGTAGCTGAAGAAGGGAACCCCCCAACTCCCTGGAGAAGAATGACTCTAAGTGGGGGAATCGGTTGTTGATTCTGCCCAACATTCTTAATTCCACCCTTTACCCAGCTAGCTCACAGCATTATTTTCCTCAAGTTACTTATCGTTTATTTGTGGAATTGATAATTCTGTGACTTTTAACTTTTAGCTTAAGAGTTCCATTAGAAATTGAGCTTTATCTTTTAGCAAAGGCACATGGTTTGCTAACCTGCTTTGTGTGCCCCCCACCCAGGGAAAGCGGGAGAGCAGTACATCACCCTGCTTGTACTGTGGGGAGTGTTTTGATAAAAAGTGTAAGACTTACGATGTCCATAAGCTTATTGTTTTGTTGAAGGAAGAAAACGTTTGCATATGTAGAATGGCAGCAAGGTAGTACGTGACATTTTGCTGCAATAAAGGCAGACAAGGAGGAAGAGACTGTTTTTTCTAGGAGTGAGAATGCTTGGTGCTGTGGCCAGAGAAGACCTTAGGGGGTGGAGATCAACTCGAGGAGACTACAGAGCTGATTCAGTGATGTCCCAGATGATGAAGGTGGGGTAATGAGCTAATCCTGAAGAAGAGCTATTTTTAGTTGATTGGGTTATGCCTCACTCACTGACCATGCATATCACATGCTGATGAAAGGCAAGGAAAGATGTGTGTTACAAAAGCAGTCACGTTACTGTTTCAACAAATTCCATATCTTGACCTGTAATTTGCAGTTGTCTGTGTAATTTCATGCTGTTTACTTGGTTCATTTTCCTTTTTAGATCTAAAGGGGCGATTCTGAACATCTCCTCTGTAAGCGGCATGTACCCAGTCCCGCTGCTCTCCATCTACTCTGCAACTAAGGTGAACAATGTTTTAGTCAGTCACACCGGAAGAAGAATGCAGAATAATCTTCAGTCTGAGAAATGTGCATAGATCTTTCTTGAAGTTCTATTCTTGGTAGTTTTCAAATGGACTGGGAAGGAAGGGAGGCATACTGAGGGGTATAAACTTTGCAAATGTAGTGTCAGATCCACAAATGCTTTTTTTCCTCTCCCTGTAGTTTACTGGTTTTCAAATTGATCTTGTACTTTCCATACAGTGCTGGTAAGGCCTGTGAGCTGAGTTGATCAGACCATGATGTTAATGAGTTTGCAACTGGGGGTTTGATTCCTGCATGAGTCAAATTCATACAACATAAGTTCCAAGGCTATAGAACTCAGTAGAAGGAATGCAGCAGCCAACACACAAATATACATGGTAGGCACGAGATGGACTATGTGAGAGTGTGAATATTTTACCACATTATTCAGAATTCACAGATATCTATTGTTAGTTTAGGAGCAAGACAAGAATTTTCCAGAACTTTCTGTAAGGTGTCAAAACTTTATACACCATCATTGTTCACTTCTTTATATTACTACTAGGAAAATCATTTGGAATACATTTCCTATCACTTGCAGGTCAATAACATCATCTTCATGTACAATGTTGAGGCCTGGAATACATCTCTGAAATGAAAATGACCATTGAGATGCTGAAATTAAACAAGCGTTTCAGGAAAAAGGAACAAAATAAAATACACAATAAGAACCTGCAATATGTCAGGGGAGGAAGAGAGCAAACATGCCTGCCTTCTTTTTCACTTGGCTCATTGTCCCCTGGAAAACACAAACAGTGACTACTGGCTTTTGAAAAAACTTGGCCCCACTCCCACAATCTGCTAGCTTTCTATATCTCTGAAACGAAAGGGCGGGGGGGCCTGCTTGAAATGAATACCACATTTCAAGTGATTGTAAACTCTAGCTTCTTACCTGTTCTGCTCCACGGACATGAGATTCTTGCTAATTGGGACCCCAGTAGAGTCATTATTGAGACTTCGCATTTCAAATCTGAGGTTGAGTCCACCTTTGGAAAATAGAACACAGAATATTTTACAAATAGATTTAAAGTTGTACCAGCAAAGAAGGGCTGTCACACTCATCTCTGCACTTCTTGGATCTTGCCATCCCAAAGGGCCCAGAGGATGCATGCTGTCTTCTCTTTACTGACAACAAAATCCCCGTAGAGCAGAGATGCATAGAATTCATATGGAGTTTCTGCTTGAACGGCAAGTGAGAAGAAGGAACGCAGCCTTTGTTACACAATAAAACGTTTCTTCTCGAAAGTAATTTTCTGAAAAAAAAAAAAAAAAAAAAAAAAAAAGAAAAGATAAGAGGAACCTTTTCCAGTTAAATCAAAATTTGATCTGGATATTACATTTAGTAGCAAATGAAAACAACTAGTGGTTTTGAGGTGTATTTTAAGGTCCCTTCTGCACTTGAAATACAAAGAATGATTAGAAACTGTGGTGTTAAATGTTTAGTTTATGAGTCTTGTTTCTGTGGGCACAAATCAGGGAGGTTGGTGTAATGTGTGTGTTTTCTTCTCACTCCCACCCCTTCCCAGGCTTTTGTAGATTTCTTCTCGCAGTGCCTCCACTATGAGTATAAGAACAAGGGCATCTTTGTACAGGTGAGTGGAGTTTGTTTCAGTTAAGTGTCCCTGTTTTGTGTGGTTTCCACAGCAACTGTCGCTGTCTTGGCAACGAAAGAAAATCACATTCGTAAGTGAATGTGATGTTAGTACACCATTAAAGACAGGGTCTCTTTTTCCTTTATGCACTTAAGTGTCTCTCTGTCTCTCTCTCTCTCTCTCTCTCTCTCTCTCTCTCATATACATACATATGTCTCCCCTAGAATTTTTTTAAGAATAGAGGTTTTTTTTTAAATATTTTTTAAATTTTTTTTTTTTTTATAGAGGCATCTTTATTTATTTTATTTATTTGTTTATTTTGTTTATACATGCACTGGGTACAGTCAGAAGCGTGGGAGGGTGAGAGAATTCACCAGAGCCAGAGCCAGAGAGGGGAGCAGAACAGGCAGAAGGACCGAAGTACACTGCTGAGGGGAGCAGCGGGCGGCAGGAGAGGTCTGCGCGCCATGTGGGACCCTCCTCCGGTGGCTGGGGAGCAGCCGGGGATCGAACCGGCGCCCGGCGCCGCAGAGGCCACGGGCAGCTTTGCAACCCAGCACTCAACTGCTGCGCCACCGGGGAGGCCCTAGAGGTTTTTTTTAAAAGATTTATTTTTATTTATTTTTGCATACAAGAACTGGGGTACAGGCCAGAGGTGCTGAGGTTGAAAGGATTCACCAGAGAAAGCGGGGAGCAGAACACGCGGATCCACTGAAATTCATTGCTAAGGGGAGCAGCAGGCCAGACAGGAGAGGTCTGCTGCACCATGTGGGTTAGCTCTCTGGACAGGGATAGAACTCATGCTGTAGTGGTTGGCAATAGCTTGGTAGCACTGAGACTTTAACCCCCTGCACCACCAGGGAGGCTCCTCCCCAAGAATTTTTAAGTAGGGAAACCTAAAGTAGAAAAAAAAAATCATTGTAGACAGTTGGAGAATAATCAATGTAAGCTCTTACAGTTTTATTTTGAGAGATTAGACCCTCAAGCTCTCTGAGCTGCTAGGTGTGCCAGATCTGCCAGGACTTTCCCTAGAGCGAGGGCGGCTGCACACCCAGGATGGTGGAAGTATGGGTATGATCTTTAATTTTTTTTTAAATTGTGGTAAAATAAACACAACCAAAAAAACCATGTAAGTTATTTTCAGATATTTGATTTAGTGGCGTTGGGTAGATTCACACTCTTGTGCCATCATCACCTCCCTCTATCTCTACAACATCTTTCATCTTCCAAAACCGAACCTCTGTGTCCATTAAACAGCAGCCCCTGGTCCCTCAGCCCTGGGCAGTCACCATTTTACTCCCTGTCTGTGAATGCAACTGCCCTGGGTACCTCACGAGAGTGGAATCATCCAGCGTTTGCCTTTTTGTGACTGGTTTGTTTCATTCAGCCTGTCTGCATTCAGCCTGTGTTCATTCACGTTGTAACGTGTCAGAATAGCCTTTCTTTTGAAGGTCGAATAAAATTCCATCCTGTGTACCCCCACATGGTATTTAGCCATTCATCGCTGAGGGACATTTGTGTTGCTTCCACCTCTGGGCTTTTGTGATGAGTGCTGCTGTGAACACGGTGTACTGGTATCCTTTCGAGACCCTGCTTACTTCCTTCTTTTTAAAATAGTAGCTTGATTGAGATTTTTTAATTAACTGGTTGATTAATTTAATTAATTTTTCATTGAGATAATATTGGTTTACAACACTGTTTCTGATTTAGGGGTGTAGGTTCAAACCTCTTCAATGTATATTACCACACCACATCTACTGCCAAAGCCCCCATCACCCCCCACCATAGTCCATGGGGACCCCCACCTCTGGGAGCCTGAGTTCTGCAGTCAGGTTCCACGAGTTTGGTTTGTCTGTTCCTTTGCTTTGCTTCTTTGTATTTCACATATGACACCCTTGTTTGTTTGTTTCTTAAGATTTATTTATGCATACAAGAGCTGGGGTACAGGCCAGAGATGCAGAGGGGTGAGAGGATTCACCAGGGACAGGGTGAGGAGCAGAACAGGCAGACTGACTGAAATACACTGCTGAGGGGAACAGCGGGCAAGACAGGAGAGGTCTGTTGTGCCATGTGGGTAGCTCCCTGACTAGCCAGGGATTCAACTGCTGCTGCAGAGACTGCAGATTGCTTCATAGTGCGGTGCTTAACCCCTTGCGCCACTAGGGAGGCCCCCTGACACCCTTCTTTAATTCTTTGGTTGTGTATTCTGAAGTGGGATTGCTGGAGCATTTGGTAACTTTTTTTTTCTTTTTTGAGGAACCACCATTTATTCCCCTAATAGATGCTCTACTTTGTATTCCTGCCAGCCGTGCACAAGGGTTCTGGTGCCTCCTCATCCTTGCCAGTACTTGTTATTTTCTGTTTCTGTTTTTAAACAGTAGCCATCCCAATGGGTATGAGGTGGCATCTCATTGTGGTTTTGGTTTGCATTTTTCTAATGACTAATGATGTTAATCCCTTTTCAGGTATTTATTGCCCATATTTTTAAGCTTCTTTGGAGAAATGTCTAGTCATATCATTTGCCCATTTTTTAAATAGGTTATTTGCATTTTATTATCGAATTATAGGAGTGCTTTGTGTATGCTGGATATTAACCCTTCCTTAGGTATATGATTTGCAAATATTTTCTCCCGCTTTCTGGTTTGTCTTTTCATTCTGCCGACAGGCACCATTGATACTGGCACACTCAGTTTTGATGTAGTCCAGCTTATTTATTTATATTTTTATTGGCTATGTTTTGTGTGTGTGTGTCGTATCATTGCCAAATCTGATTGTCCTAATGCTTTCTCCCTATGTTTTCTTTCAAGAGTGTTCTAGTTTTCACTCTTATCTTTAGGCCTTTGGTCCATTTTGAGTTAATTTTTACAGAGACTTTTGATTTCATTATATCACAAGCAAATTCAGTGCTCCAACAATCCGATACGAAATACAAGAGAAAGCAAATGTAGGCGTTTTTATGGGCATCTCTCTCAAATCAGCCTTTGTTCAACACAAAGAAATAACAGCTCACAATATTCCATGCTTGGGCACAGTTTTAGCAATTTCTGGGGGGAAGTTGCTGTTCTCCTTTGCCAGTCCTACCCACTACCTCCCCTCCTCACATCCGGTGTTCATTATAACTTTCATTACTGTGAGCCTAGTACTTCTCTATTTGCACCCTGAAGCCCCAAATGATCAATCAAAATAATTGCAGCGAGTATCTGAGGGGATACTTTTCAGGAACAATGCTAAGCACTTCCTATGTAACATTTACTTCACTGTATCTGCTAATAATCTCATAAGATGGTGTGATTACCACCCTCTTTAAATTTATGGAAATTGGGGCTTAGGGGGATTAAGCCACTCGACCATGTTGAACCAGGACTCAAGCCCTGATCTCTTTGGCACCAAAGCCTCTGTTCTTAACCCCTGGGCTGCTTGCCGCAGGCTTCTAGAACAGGGATGAATACTGGTGGATCCATCTGTGTCCAGGCACTTGTGAAACCACAGGGTTTCCTCCCTTCTGTCTTCACACAGTCAAGATGGACCTGACTGTTACCAAATCTGCTTGTAAACCTTTTTATCCTGTGAGTAGGTACTGGAGCTACATCCCCCAGTGAGAGGGAGTGGTAGTAAGAAGGGCAGGGCAATCGTGCCCTCATCTTCTAGGGTCACCTCAGAACCCGCATCCTCTAAAAACCCTATCTGAGACCCCATCTGAGATCTCACCAAGGAATCCTTCCATAGCTGATCCCTGTGGTATTATTATGATTAGCAGTTTCCAATAAACAGGGTATAAAGGGCCCTGTTGGGAAAGAGGGTTCTCAATTCAAGAATCCTGAATTTTAATCTGGTCTGCCGTACATACTTCCTCCCCTTCTTGACAATATTGATTTTTTTTTTTAAAGATTTATTTATGCACACAAGAGCTGGGGTACAGGCCAGAGATGGGGGCGGGAGGTGAGAGGATTCACCAGAGACAGAGTGGGGAACAGAACAGGCAGAATGACTGAAATACATTGCTGAGGGGGAGCAGCGGGGAGACGGGAGAGGTCTGCTGTGCCATGTGGGTTTCTCCCTGGTTGGCCGGGGATTGAACTCATGCTGCAGAGGCTGTGGATTGCTTTATAGTGTGGTGCTTAACCTCTTGCACCACCAGGGAGGCCCGACAATAGTGATTTTGGTGCTAGTTACTACAGTCTGCTGCAATGTAGTGTGTGTTGCCTTTTGGTAACAGTGTCTATTGTAATTGAGGCATTAATTTAATAATTGTTAAACCCCTACTGAAATTAGGCTGAATCTGAATGGTCCATTGGTGGGTGATCTGTGCTGTGGGCAGTGACTATGAGCCGGTGTTTGAATGACGAGAGGAAATGTGAGACCTTGTGAGCACAGACGAGTGGTTTGTAAACTGTTCATAGATGGAACTGCCTCTGCTCTCATTCTAGTTTGTTTCTTGCAAAGATTTTTTTTTTCCCTGCAGGTTCTCTGTCTATTAATCCTATTAATCCACAAAAACATTAGTATTTGTTTTCTGAAATATTTTCATTGGATAAGCTTTTACTTTTCCCTAATAGTGAATTATAAATTGTGATTTCATTCATCATCATTTTCCTTCAGGTGAACTCAATCAAGGTTCACACTTAGAGTGAATTCGCTGGAAAAAAATGAAATCTTAGATATCTGTGAGAGGAAGTATAGTTGTTGCTACGTCATATGGCTGCGTCAGATGCTGAAGCAGGGTACCATCTCATATTAATTCTGACCGTAGGGACAAAAATAAAAATTTGGCCTAAATGAAACAGTAAAAAAGTATTGTTTTTTTCCTTAGTATGGTATTTCATGTCTGCACACTATCTGGACCAGAAGCATTTCCCAGCTGATGTCCCCTTCTGCCCTGTCCCACACACTGCTTCCCAGGTGATCTTGTTAAAAGTCAGACAACACTGCTTTCCCTTATGGTCTTCCAGTGGCTGCCATAAAATTGAGGCCCCAGAGGCCACCGCTTCTCTTGCTACTCC